CCCACTTTATAGATGAGGAAACTGAAGTTCTGAAGTGTAAGGTCACATTCTACATAACTGATGGAGCAGGAACTGTGACTTGGTGGCTACTATTCCCAGCACCAGGGACAGCCTCGCACATCACAGACACTCATTAAATACTTGTTGAATGAAAGAATGGATGGATGTAACTCTAAAGCAGGTCTCTGATCCCAGAATTTCAGGTTGTAGGGTGTAAAGCAAAAGTTGAGTCAACTCATAATAATGTTGAGCAATGCTAGCAAAGAGAAGCCTTACCTTACAGCCAAGAATAATCTATAAACATAAGGAAATACCATTTTCACCTATAAGATTTTGCAAAGATCAAAAAAAAAAAAAAAAACTGCTACTCTAGGAACCAGGAAAGATGTGGGAAATAGATACACTTGTGAGGGCATGCAGATTTGTCACCCATTTGGAGGATTTGTTGCTGTCTTTCAATCTTTCAAATGCATATAACCATTTCCCTTTTCAAAAATTGATTCTGCAGACAGACTGCCCTATGTACCCAAAGACATATACATAAGAATTTTCACATGCACATTATTTGCTGTAATAAACGACTGGAAACAATTTAAATGTTAATGAATAGATTGCTTATAGTGCAGAATATTGACAGGATGGAAAACTATGCAGCCTTTAAAAAGAATAAGGCAAATCAATATGTGCAGATATAGAACAGTCTCCAAGACATATTGATAATTGTAAAAACCAGGGTTTATGTAAGCCAAGGAACAACGTATATTCACCTGCGTTTGCCTACACATAGACCGTGTCTGGATACGGAAGACACTATTAACAGTTGTTGACTGGGCAAGGGGATGGGGGCAGGAGAGACTTTGCGCAAAGAATCTTTTGATACTGTTTCACTTTATAACTAACAGATAATTCAAGAAGAAATTTCAAGGCCCATTTCTCCGAGGCCGAAACGCTCCTAACCCCAGAGACTGTCTCAGCCGCTCGCCCCCACCCCCGCAGCCTCCGGCCCCTCCGCGCTGGCCCGGGCCCCACTCACCCTTCCCGGCCGCAGACGGAGCTCGTGCGCCCGGGGGAGCCCCGCAGCGGGCAGCTCCGCAGTGCCAGGCCCCGCAGCCGCTGCGCAGCCGTGCGGAGCATGGCTAGGACGAGGCCGAGAGGCCGAGGGCGCGGGCACCTGCTCCGAGGCCGGCGGAGAGCCTGAGGCGCCAGGGGCGGGGGGCGTGGATGGGGGCGGGGGGCGGCGGTCGGACCCTCCCCCGGGCGAAGGGCGGGCTCTTGGACCGGTGCGCGCGCCGGTACCCGGCGTCAGCACAGCCTTGGCCGGCACGATGGCATCAACCCGAGCCTTGGGGGCCAAGAAGGTGAGTGTCTTCCCTTCCTTCCTCCCGGACGGAGTCCCTGGTCCCTGGGCTCCGAGCGACTCTGGTTCCACTCCCGCATCGGCCCCTAGCCAAGCCCTGGAGCCTGACAAAGCAACTGGACTGGACGGCTCCCAGCCTCGGTTTCCCCAACCGCGAGTTGGTTGACATTCACGGAGCCCTATGCGGTGCCTGGCACTGTACAGAGTACTTTACGCAAATTGTTTCCTCAGCTTCATGATTATCCCCATTCTGCAGGTGAGGAAACTGAGGCTCAGCGAGTCAGGCGACTAGCTCGCGGTCACAGATCTACTGTCGGGTGGAGCGGGGGACTCAGAGGCGCGCTCACAGTTTCCTCCCTCAATCGACCGGCACCCACAGCTCTTCGGGTTAATCGGCCCCAGAGCTCCTCAGAGTTTCCCTTACATTTTGGAAAAGTCAGCGACCTGGCCCCGCGAGTCGCCGGCCGACCTGCAACCAGTCGGTGGGGGTGGGGCTGGGGGTGGGGCTCCCCTTCTCTCACCTGGTGGTCCGCAGCTCCAGGCCCCTTTCCCGGTAAGGTCGCCAGGTGTTGGCTTTATTCCCCAACCCCCCATTTCTATGTTGCGTGTGTGGCTGGGGGTGGAGGGAAAGGGGGGCTAAATAAAATTAGGAAGGGCCTCAACTTGGACAAAGGACATCCCCTGGACCCTTCAAAGTATCCCACCTGAGCCGAGTAAATTCAGAAGCGGGGTGGGAAATGTGTACCGCCGATTTGTTTATACTAAAAAGTTAGGCACAATCAAGATGCCTTACAATAGGGGACTTTCTAAATAAATTAAGGGTCATCCACTTTATAAGTTATCAGGCAGCCAACTAAAAAACGAAGCATGGGAACAGGCAAAGTGCTTTGGCAATGTTAAGTTACACAAGGCCAACACCAACTGTACAAAAAATATTTATATATACGCACTGTACGGAAGGACACGATAATAGTAATAATTACATAGGAAGTGGAATATGGGTTTTAAAAACATGGTTGGGGATATGCTTTTCAGACTATTAAAGTAAAATGTGGACATTAATGGAAATAAGTTCAAAAGAAAAAGAAGCAAAGAACATTGTGCTGACTTCTTTCTCTCAATCTCCTTTAATGCTGTGTTCATTTTTACTGTTCGGTTTTAAAAAAAAAAAAAAGTTTGTAAAATGTTCTGTCCCTATTCAATTTATCCGGGGATTCTGCGAGATTATCGCACACTAATCTACGTTAATGCGTACCTATAAATTCAGATGTTAGTGGGAAGGGACGTAATCTCACCTCTCACCTCAACTGACAGGTATGTTTTAAGAATTCATTTAATTGCCACAGACGACAGCTCCAAGTAGTTCTTTAATCCAAAAGAGCAGCCCTATTGGCAAATCCAAGCAAGAGAGGGAGATATTTTAGGCAGATCAGGTTTATGGTCACTTCCCACCACAGGGTAAAATTGATCTCCTCCTCTGAGTATGAATGGAGTTGGCCTGAGGCCAGATCTTACATCTGGAGGTCTTAGGTTTTAATATCTGCAAAAGGGGGCACAAATGCAGCCCAGAGCTCACTATCAGATCCAAGGCAGGTTCACTGCCAAACTGAAGGGAGGATGGAATGAAAACATAAATGTACTGCAAATTAATTTACAGTGCTCTTTATTTTATGCATTCCAGTCTTTGTCATTCTAGAGCTGTGTTTAGATCATACTGGTGTAGTAATTAATTGAGGCGGTAAGAAAAGCAGTGAAGGAGGGGCTAAAAGATGCTCTGGATTCAAATCTTTATAATTTAGTTATTTTGCTAATGGCTGTATAGAAAAAATGGCGAATTTTAAATGTTGGACAAACATCCAGATAACAAATGAAAATGTCTTCCCTTACTTGATATCATGAAGACAAAGGCAAAATATGTACTATAATTTCCTTAAAACCCTGGCTAATTTTCTGCTGAAGAGTGACATTTTTTCTCATTGTTTAGGATAAAAATTCTAGCATATGATGTATCTGACAATTTCAAAACAGCTCTGTCTCTCTGCTAACTCCTAGCATAGTTTACTAAGGGTCTACTTGTTAGATGCAAAATGTTAGGTGGTAGGAATATAGATCAATAAGATATGTCATCTGACCCCAAGCATCTTACTGTCAAACTGAAGAGACAGGTAAGTAACCAGACACTGCAAGACAGGTGGATGCATGAATGGGGGATCTGTAAAGTAAGCAGGTCACAAAGGAGGGGCAATCACAAGTGAGAGCAGGTTGGGCAAGGCTTTGCTCTGGCAGCAATGGAAGATGGTTTAGAGTAGAGCTGGAGTGAATCCAGTGCAGGGAGGATATGACAAGTGTTTAACAGGTACTCTTGTCATAACCCTGTGACAGATTGGATGTGGGAGATAAGAGACTAACCTATAACACCCAAATTCTGTGGCTATGTTTTTCTCCTCTAGAAATGTTTGATGTGTAATATTAAATTTGATTCTTAATGTGGTTAATGTATTAAATTGTACCAGATTTTCAAGAAGACATTTTGTACAGAATGACTATTCCTCTGATTCTCTCTTCTATATTTCTCAGTAGCAATTATCACATTATGCTGTGATTATTTGTTGACCTATTGGTCTTCCCCAAAGTAGCCAGACTTTGAGCTTGTTGAAGGCAGAGACCTTGTCTTATTCCAATGTTTATCCCACTTGCTTAGAACTACACCTGGCATGTAGGAAGATCTCAATAAAAGTTTAAAGTTTAAGGGATTTTTTTATGTTTCAAAAATACAAAATGAAAAGAACGAATTGCATTTTATGGAGGAAGTATAGAGATAGGTGAAGATCATAGTAAATATTAACATTTCTGCCATATTCAGCTAAAATTCAGCTTGAGATATAAAAATGGAAAAATAACCAGAATCAGGGGATCTCTCTGCCAAAATAGTGTTTATGATTAACACAGCTCACACAGCTGTGTTCCATTTGCCTGCTTTCTGCATGCACAGCAAAAAGGAGATGATGTAGATATGGTGGTCTGGTACTTAGTACCCTGTCTAATGTACCTTCTTGTTCTGTAGAAGAAAGAAAACTAAACACATTTCCAGAGTCCTTTGCAGCTAGGATTCTGATAAGAATTAGGATCCCAAATCAGATATACCTGTATGAGTCTGGGAAGGTAGAAGTATAGCAGCATGGCCGTAGTGCAGCATTCTAGTGTCAGTAACTATGGCAGCCTCTTTCTCCCTATATGGCAGCTGCATAACATATTCCTGAAGCCAGCAGTTCAATACTGGCTTCTTTTAGCTGTAGCAGAGGAGGTAGCCCCAGGCAGGACAGGTCAATAGAGTTTTTCTAGGAGTCATTCCTGGGGGCCCAGTGTAAAATTTTTTGCACCCATTTCTTTATGTTAAACTCCTTTCTGCTCAAAATAGCTGGAGTGGTTTATATTTCCTGCAGCTGAGCTAGACATAGGGGATAAAGCCAGAATGAACCCTTAGTCAATCATTCGATGCAGATTGAGAAATTGTTCAAGCCATATTTTGTCTCTTGTTTGGTTTAGTACTGTTAACAGGGCTGTCCTGGGAGGTAGAACAAAAGGGGCTCCGTGGGAAGATCCTCACATGTCTGCTTTAATTCCTGGTTGCTTTTATTAGATCCAGGAATAACTCAGATAAGAACAAAGACTCTTGTAACCAAGATCAAATTAGTTTCACTCTTATTCTTTATTGCTTTTATGGTGTTCCAGCCTCCTGGAAAAAGATTGAAGAAAGTAATATGTCTAGTAATGTGGCAAAAATGTGGTCGGAATCTTTTTGTTGCTCAGTGTCCTAGGAAGCTTGCTCCTGACACCTTGGGCCAGTCACTTTGGGGGATGATTGATTAGCAGAGAAATAGCAGGTGCCAGACACTAGAACAGCGCAAGCCAGTTTCTTTCCAAAATCTATCTCCCTCCTTGCATGATAACAGAGTTGTAGCTGGACACACGGGCATTTGCTGACAACATTTTCTGGCTTCCCTTATAGCAAGACATAGCCATGTGGCTAAATTCTCACAGAGGGAGCGTGAGTATAAGTGATATGAGTCACTTCTAGGTCTGAGCTAAAAACTTTAGGATGAGCTTTACCATACTGTGTTTCCCCCTCATTTGAGACAGAATATTAACGTGACTCTGATCCAGTTCCAACCATGCTGAAGAGGACAGTACCCTAGGGCAGGGGTTGTCAAACACTTTCGGTAAAGGGCCAGATAGTAAATATTTTCAGCCATGCAGGCCCTACGGTCTTGGATGTAACTACTCAGCTCTGCTGTTGTAGTGCAAAAGTGGCCACAGACATTATGCAAACCAATGGGCAGTGTCCCAGTAGGACTGTCTTTACAAACACAGGTTGTGTGCCAGATTTTGTCTGTAGGCGTCCATGTGCTGTAGAGGTTGGCAAAGTGCTGTGATGAAAGGGCTGTGCACTTTGGGACTGTTACATGAAAAAAAAATACACCGCGTCTATTTAAGCCACTGTTTGGGAAGGCCTCTTTTGTTATAGCAGCTTAGCTTCACCCTAAATCCAACATGTATCCCAATAAGCTGCCTCTGTACCCTGCTTGATGTCTCCCTTGGATTCAGGAACTGATGGGTTTCCTAGTGATTTCACAGAACTGATATGGCTGGTTAGAACCGGCACCGGAGGCTTTTCTCCCCGATCCGTGTGTGGTTTTGTGTCCAGCTGTGGGCAGGTCTGAAATGAATTGGCATATTTTCAAGGAAAGGTTGTAACTTCAATTAATGCAGTCCATACAAAAGAGATCAGGATTTCTATGTGGAGTGGGGGCGGGGGAGGGGGTGGCGAGGGTTGCAGTGATCAAGAAGGCATCTCTGAAAAGATGATACTTGACCAAAGACCTGAAGAATGTGCGTGGATGATCCATGCAGGCATCTGGGAAGGCATGTTTTAGACAAAGGGAACTGCATTCCATGGCTAACTGCTCTGGATACAACCTCTTAAGTAAGTTATGGGAGGCCTAAATAGAAAGGTGGTAAAATAGAAAGAGACTAGATTAGGAATTTAGAAGCTCTGAAGTCTGTTTTTTTACTTACTTAACTCTGTGATCTTGGGCAAATCACAACCTTCCTGAGCCTCAGTTTCCTCATTTGTACATGGGAATGAAAACCGTCTGTCCTGCCTCACTCAGTGTTGTTGGGAGTACTAAATAATAACATGTACATGAACACACTGCACAGATGTAGGGCATAATTATGGAATATTGTGTCTGTTAGGAAAATGTTCAGTGACTGACACAAAGAAGAGGTTTATTTTTCTCACCTAATAGGAGGTCTAGTGGTGGATAGCCCGTGGCTGCTATAGCCAGGCAAGCATGTCGTTAAGTAACCTGTTATCAGTCGATTCTGCCAGCCTTGGCTTGCAGCTTTCAATGGGGTGGCTGCAAGATGACTGCTCAGCCCCCCAGGCATTATATTGACACTCCAGCTAGGAAGGAGGAAAAGAGACAAGGCACAAGGGAGTGGTGTCTATATCAGGAAAGCAAAACTTTTCCAGGAACCCTCTGCTGATTCCCCCTGAGTCTCATTGGCCAGCACTGTGTCACAGGGCTACTCCTGGCAGCAAGGGAGCCTGGGAATTTTTTTAAAGATGGAGACATTGTCTCCCCACACAGAATACATTAGCAAAGAAGAGGAGAGAGAATGCACATTAGTTAGGCAATCGGCAGTGTTACCACAAACATGTTGAAAAAACAAAATAACTATGATGGAATCAGCATTTTCACTATAATTTGACTCATTAAATATTGAGAAAAAATAGTCACAGTCCTTTGATTACACAAAATAGGTGCTTGGATTAGGCAAGAAATATAGTATGCTCAATCTTTCTGAACTACTAGACATGATGTTAACAGAACTAGAGCTCTAAGAACATAATACCACTTTACCTAAAATTAGAAATTGCTTTTAGAAAAAACAAGTGGAGGGGAGCATGGGTGACTTTTTTTTCTCTTCTTCAGGGTATTTTGGAACGTCTGGATAGTGGGGAGGTTGTGATTGGAGATGGCAGCTTTCTTATTACTCTGGAGAAGAGAGGCTACGTGAAAGCTGGGCTCTGGACGCCGGAGGCCGTAGTAGAACATCCAAGCGCAGGTCGGTGCCCATGTCACCTGAGAGTGTTTATCTGAGTGACATTTTGCTTAAATATGATTGAGAGAAGATCAAGAAATGATAACAAGTATCTCTAAGTGTCTCTGTTTCACTTGCTACAATTGCTAAGCTGCGGAGACAATGGCATTATGC